TTATAATTATAGATTGCATTACCATAAAATATAACTACATATTCATAATAATATTATTATACAAATATATACCACTTTAATTTTTTTATTTTCGCAGATATTGTTGGTCGGCATTATAAATGTGATCAGTATGTGTATATGAATAATAGTAATTATACTTTGATAATTAAAAAATGCAATAATTCATTTAGTTTAATGAAATTAAATATAGTTTGATTAGTTATAGATATAAAAATCATGAATTTTTATTAAAATTATGAATAATTATATAATATAAATTTATTTTTATATAAATATTACTATAATTAAATTAATGATCATAATAATAATTAATTTGATATATTAAAATTATAATAAAAAAAATATTACGCTAACATTTTAGTAACAGGTGCCGACTACCGGTTCGATTTGAAATGAAAGGTTTTTGAAAGAACTGTTTCTACTCCAAACCTGAAGCTCCTTTAATGGAGAAAAGGCATTTTTGCTCTCTCATTTCCCGCCTTTGCTCTTTTACTAAAAAATTATCTCGTTTCTCTGCAGCTTTTAATGGCTTCAGAAGTCACAGTTCTCAAGCTTTCTCTGAATTCCCCGTGGATTTCCAGAAGGGAAACCCCAGAAATGCAGAGCAACACCTCCATGAGAGCATCACCAAGCTTCGTTATCTTCTTGAACAAGGTAAGCCTCAGAACGCTCAAACCCTAATCAGGTCTTTCTTACTATTCAGAAGCGTGTTCACTTCTCCTTCTGAGCTCCTCAAATCTTTCTCTGATGCTCCTCATGTCCAGACATTAGCCTGTAACTTACTGTTAAATTCATGTGTTGATCTTAAATTGGCAATGGAATCGATGGAAGCTTTCGATTGATGAAAAGATACAGTGTTTTGCCTTCAATTTTGCCAGGCAACAAGCTTCTGGAGGTTTTAGCTTCAGGGAGACTCTTTAATGAAACCCTAGAAGTGTTCTCTGAAATGTTGGAGCTAGGGCTTAGGCCTGATACATTCACTTACAATACGGCTATACAATCATCTGTGAAGTTAGGAAACATTAAGGAAGCTATTGATTTGCTGTCAATAATGGAAAAGAATCAAACGAGGCCTGATTCTTTTACTTATAATGTGATAATATCCGGTTTATGCAAAAACAAACAAACGAAAGATGCAATGAATTACTTCACTGAGATGGTTTCGAAATGCTTAGTGCCCGATGGTGTTACATATAATACTCTGATCGATGGGCATTGTGAGAGTGGTAGCACAAAGGGAGCCTTAAATTTGGCCAGGGAGATGGAGGAACACAAGCTGAAGCGTTGTAGGTTCACCTACCATGCGTTGATAAAGGGGTTTGTAAAATTTAAAAAGTGCTTTTCGATTGCTTGATGAACTGGTGAGTAAGGAAATAACCCCAAATGTGATAGCATATAATTCTTTGATAAATGGCCTTTGCAAAGAGAGTAGGGTCATAGAAGCTGAGAATTTAGCGCACAACA